CTGTAGGGAAAAAGCCTTTTTAAGTGATCTGATACTGCTTCCTACCTGTTTTCTTCCCTTGGGATATTGGGCCAAGTCTGAGCACAGGCTAAGATTTAGGCTTCTCAAAGGCAGAGAGACTTTGCCTGGAGAAACAGAACCCAGAAGAGCTTTGATCATCTGTGTGTGCTGGCATGGTGGGTTGGAACTTAGAAGTCCCCCAAAGCAAGACTGAATTTCTCATAGAATGTCTGCTTTAGGTATCCGGTAGATACCCTTTTTCTTGTTGGAGAATGTTTGAATCTATCACGTGTTCTTTAACCAGCTTGTGTCAGTGGTAAAAATTTGCCCCATTTTATGTTCCATGATGTTTTTTATCAGAAATAGAAGCTTAATATCCTGATTTGCCGTACCACACTGACATTTACTGGTTGTGAGTGGTAAAGTTTTAGTGTGATTTTTAAGCTCTGGATTAAGATTGAGCTTTTTCTAATTAAAAAAAAAAAAAAAACCCACCCAGTTATAAAATACTGAATGGCTTTGGAAATTAGCCTTTGTGGTAGACTTCCTAAGATTTTAATCTTAAATTCTGTATCTTGCAGCATTTCACATCTTGAAATAAGTATGAAGGAAATTTTCGAACTTTAAAATCCATTTAACTGTGCAATGGAGGCAAGTCCACCTAATTCTCAATTGACAGTGACTAATCAGCCTTGTAACACCGTGCTAAATGGCAAATATCAAGAAAAGACTCTAATAGAATTCCACAAATGCCTTCCAGGCAATAAATATGCACAATTAAAGACATGTGCTCATAGACTGACGTGAGTATTGGCAGTGCTTCTCTGTAAAAGGACACTTTCAAAGATAAATACGGATGAGATGAGCCTGTGGAAAATCTTACCACACATCACTTCTGAGAGATGAATGTTGAAATCAGCTTTGATGCCTTGGACCCTAATTAAGAAAATGTTATCTCCCTCGAATAAGAATTCTACTCTTCTAATTGGTAGACTTGTACTACAACAAGTTATAGTTGATTATTATTATGAAATTTTGAATTTTATCTTTAAACATTTTGTGGAAATTTGTTTTCTCTTGTGGAAATTTGTTTTCTCTCCTGTTAGACGAATATAGTGTGGCCCACAAAACCTAAAATGTTTACTTTCAGGCCCTGTGCAGAAAAAGATCCTCACGCCTTACTCCATAACAATGAAAGTCAGTGAAGTAGAATGCAATATAACTGTGTAGATGAACCTCACAAATAAAATATATATCAAAATAAGTCAAATACAAAATAATCTGCAGTATGAGGCTAACTGTATAAAGTTTAAAACCAGCAGAGCTAAACTATGAAGCTTAGGAATACATACCTAGAAGGTGAAGATATAATGAAAAGCAAAGAGTGATTACTGTTTAAAAGAATCAGTTATCAGAATAGTATACTTTTTTGGGTGTAGGGAGAAGGGTGAGTTTGGGAAGGGGTAGTGGAGCTTATGAAATACTGTTTCTTGACCTGTGTGGTATTTATACTGATGAGTACTTTACATTAATTCATTGGGCTACACATTGGTTTTATGGACTTTCCAACCTATGTAATATGCCATTTTAAGGTTAGTAATGTGAAAACATATGAAGTATAAAACTCTCTGGCAAAAGTAAGTACACGGTTAAATTCAGAATACTCTTAGTACTGTGATGTTGGTACCTAAATCACTTATGTCTTTAGTAAGAAGTTGAAAGACAAAGCTGTTAAAAATAATCATAGCCACAATAATGCACTAAGAGATACCCAATATAAAAATATGTAAATTGTGACACTGAAAACATAAAATTTTGGGGAGGGTGGGATAAAATATAGTGTTTGTATGTGATTAAAATTGTTACCAGCTTTTAATAGCCTGTTATAACTTTTTTTGTAAGTATCATGGTAATCTCAAAGGAAAAGCGTCAGATACACAAAAGGTGAAAAGGCAGAAATCAAAGTGTGTTGCTAGAGAAAATCATCTAATCACAAAGAAAAACAACAGGAGAGAAGAAAGAAACAAAAGGGCTACACAACAACCAGAAAACAATGAACAAAATGGCAGTAGAAGTCCTTACCAGCCAGGCATGGTAGAACATGCCTGTAATCCCAGCATTCGAGAGGCTGAGGCAGGAGGATGGCTATGAGTTCAAGGCCTGCCTGGGATACATAATGAGTAGCCTAGCCTCAGCTACATAGTGAGACCCTGTCTCAAAAAAAAAAAAAAGTATTTACTTGTGAATAACTACCTTGAACATAAATAGACTAAATTCTCCAGTCAAACAACAAAGTTGCTAAATGGATTAGAAAACAAACAACAGACCCAGAGCCAGCTATGTGTTGCCTACAAGAGACACCTCTCTGGTTTAAAGACCCACACAGAATGGGAGTGAAGAGATGGATGAAGACATTCAATGTAAATGGAAACCAAAACACAGCATATTGCTACACTTAACTCAGACAAAAGAAACTTTAAATCAAAAACTGTAAAAAGACAAAAAATGTTAAAATATCATTATATCTTTAATTTGTCAAGAGGATATAGCAATTATAAATACATATACACTCACATTGGAACACTCAAATATATAAAACAAATATTGTTAAACATGAAGGGAGAGGGCTGGGGATACAGCTCAGTGGCACAAGCATCTGCCTGGCAAGCTTGTGGTCCTGAGTTCAATTCCCAGTATGAAAAAAAAACAAACATGAAGGGAGAGATACACTGTAATCCTAAAAGAGTAGAGGACTGCAATGGCCCACTTTCAGCAGTAGAAAGATCACCTAGACAGAAAATCAATAGGGAAATATCCGACTTAAAATACACTTTAGACTGGGAGCGTTTAAATATGTTCAAACTGAGGGCCACATGCAGCCATGGACAAGTAGTAATGTGGCCCAGAATATCATAAACTTTTAACATCATTGTGCGATTTTGACCAGTACTTTTATGGCTTGGCTGCACCGTGCTTGTCAGGGACTGTGTAGGTGACCGCAGAAGGCTGT